TGCTGTCTCAAGAAAGCATCAGTGTTAATAACTTCATTTTTTTAAATCATTGCTAGAGGGAAAGGGGAAAAAAAGAGAGAAAACACCCCCAGTGGGGCATGGTCACACTGCAATCTTTTTTCCTCCATTTCTCCATTCCACCAGGATTTTAGGCACTTATACTCACACACTTGGGGAGTTCTTCAACCTGCTGGGGCCAGGATTCAAACTGCAGTTGGCTGTGTAGGATCCAGATTCCTACAGCAGTTAACTACCCTTAACGGGGTCAGCCAAATAATAGTTCTTAATGTAAGTAATTAAAAAATATTATTTATCCTTTTCCTTTTGGGAGTTCCTTAGAGGACAAAAGAAAGAGCAAAAAAAAAGATGAGCAGAAAATAATGGAAATATATAACCAGATTCAGCATCCCTGCAACAAAGGGAGGGAGGATTATTTTCTGAGCCTTGTATCACACATACTGGGGGACAGAATAGCTCCTGCTGCAGCAAAAGAGCTGGCAAAATTTTTCTCAACAGGGTCAAATCTGCCATTGAAGCCCAAAAGGATACAGAGTTATGTAAATGACCAATAGTGGCCTAATTTAGGTCCATGAGCCTTGATTTGAAGACACTAAATCTAAAAGCACAGAAAATCTTTAAAGAACTGATGATTAGGGTACCATGGGATCTTGTAATGGAGAACCCAAGCTGATTCTAAGAAATTAACTCTATACAAAGACCTCCTCACAAAAGAGCTAGTAAAGTAGAAGAGCTGGTTTCTTAGGAGTTGATGAGGGGCCCAGTAGTGGTAAAGAGTCTTCCAATATAACGCCCAGTATGCACTGTGACAGGAACAGAGGGCCAACTTGATGGGGGAGGAGAATGGGTCATCATTATTGGTAGACAGTCATAAAGTTCTTTGTATAGAGTAAGATAAGAATCTCGAACTCTATCCTAAAGGTGCTGAGAAGCCACTGCAGGGTTTTAAACAGAGAACTGACTTCATGTACTTGCTAATTTCAAAATACTTAATGTGTGCCTACCACATGCCAGGTTTATACAAGATGAGGTCCGTACCCCAAAGGTTCTTGTATTTGGTGCAAGAAACAAACCACAAATAAAAACAAACCTTGCCATAAATGTTACAAAGGAAACACACATCCTCACCTCTGAGTGGGTGAGTTTAGTTAGGCTGAGATATCAAGAATGGGCAGGATGTGGGATGCAGAGCCAGGGGAGAGGTTCCAGTAGAAAAGTCAGGAAGAGGGCCAGCAAGCAGCATGCTGGTTAAGGGCACCAAACTCGCACATGTCCAATCATAGTTTGAGTCCCGGACCTGGCAACTTGCTTTCTCACTTTCGTGCTCTCTCTCTCTCTGGTAAAATTAAAATTAAAAAATAAAGTTAAATAAAATTATTATTATTATTATTTTTAGAGGTTTTCGCTATAGGGCGTGTGCGCTCGCCAGACAGACAGAGAGAGACATAGAAACAGAAAACGAGAAATCATCCCTCAGGGGGGATGGTCACGCAGCAATCCCTTCTCCTCCATTCTCCTCTCGGGATCTTGGGAACGCACCCACATGCGCCCAGCATGAGTTTTAAGCCACCTGGTCCGGGACGCGAACCGCGGTCGACTACGTGGGAATCCAGCGACATAGCCATTATGCTAACTGCTGGTTCTCAATAAAATAATTATTAAAGAAAAAAGAAAAGTGGGTAAGAACTTTATGGCAGATGGTGTGCTAAGGCCGAAGCAAGTAGAGCATGGTGAAAACAGCAGAACAGGAGGGAGAAGGGACATACTCAAGCAGGGCATGAAGGTAATGGAAAGCCACCGGAGAGCTTTAAGCAGAAAAGTGACAAAATCTGACCTGGTAAAATCCTGCTACCTGGAAAATGGACAGAAGAGACCAGCAGTTAGCGTAATGGCTATGTCGCTGGACTCCCACGTAGTTGACCGCGGTTCGAGTCCAGGACCTGATGGCTTAAACTCATGCCGGGCGCGTGTGCGTGCGTGCCCAAGATCCCGAAAGGAGAATGGAGGAGACGGCATGGCCATCCGCACCTGTGGGGGTGATTTCTCGCCTTCTACTGTGCTGTCGCGCTCTGTCTGGCGAGCGCACGCACCCTATAGCAAACACCTCTCAAAAATAAAGAAAGAAAGAAAGAAAGAAAGAAAGAAAATGGACGGAAGGGAGATCTGAGTCAAACAGGAAAAACTGAGGATACTATTATATACTGTAGGCAGAAAATGACAGTGGTTTGGAATAGGATGTTAGCATGGAGACGGAGAACAGAGTTCAGATTTCATATACATTTTGGATATACAACTGGTAAGACTTGCTAAAAGATAGGGAAGGGGGTAGTAAGGGAAAGGAACCAAAGATGACTCTCTGAGGTCTGGTTTTAGCAATCATGTGGATGGGAGTACCGCCTACTGAATCAGGAAAGTACAGGTTTAGAATGATGTGGAAAAACCAAAATTTTCTTTAAGTTAGCTTTGGGATGCCTAAAGAGGTCCAAGAGGAGATAAGTAAGTGGGCACTGTGATGTATAATCTGGGACATAGAAGACAAAGAACTGGGCTAGAGATTTAAACTTGGGAGTTGCCGGCTTTCAGATGATAATTAAGGCTGGATTGCCTAATGGAAATGTGTAAAAGACTCAGGGTTAAACCCTGAGAGAAATCCAGCATTTAGACATTAGGTAGACAACAAAAGTGGCTAGTAAAGGAGATGGAGAAGGAACAGCCAGAGAAATGCAGAAATTCGAAAATTAAGGTCAATGAAGCCAACAAAGGAGAATTTCAAGAATGGAGTAACTGGGAATCAGCAGTTAGCATAATGGCTATGTCGCTGGACTCCCATGTAGTCGAACGCGGTTTGCATCCCAGACCCGGCGTGCCCAAGATCCCGAGAGGAGAATGGAGGAAAAGGGATTGCGGTGTGACCATGCCCCCTGGGGGGTGATTTCTCGCTTTCTGTCGCTGTCTCTCTCTGTCTGGCGAGCACACGTGCACTATAGCAAAAATCTCTCAAAAAAAAAAAAAAAAAGAATGGAGTAACTAAGTTTACTCTTCTTGAAATCTAGGAAGATGAAAAACAATATCTATTGCATTTGGTAACACAGAAATCACTAGTGACCTTGAGGAGCAATTTTTTTTTGAGAGGTTTTCGCTATAGGGTGCATGCGCTCGCCAGACAGACAGAGACAGAGACAGAAAGCGAGAAATCACCCCCCAGAGGGGATGGTCACGCCGCAATCCCTTCTCTAACTGTGCTAGACTACATGGGAATCCAGCAACATAGCCATTACGCTAACTGCTGGTTCCCACCTTGAGGAGCAATTTTGATGAAATACTGGACAAGAAGCCAGACTGGTACCATACTACATAGATTTTTCTCTTATGAGGAGGCCTTTGGCGGAAGAAGTGTAAAACATGACTGAGCCTTTTCAGACTGCAGTGCTTTCTGATGAGATTAATTGTTTGGTGAGCTTAAAACCTCTTTAAGAGTAACCATAGTATGCTAATTGACTCTAATAGCCACATCAATGAACTGAATAAAGCCAGACTTGTATCAAGGATACTCAAGAAGAAAACCTTTAGTTTGTAAAGTGAGCAACCATGCTTCTATAATCCAAACATCAGAGATTTTGAGATAAACAAGAGAACTAAGTTTTTTTTTTTTTTATTTTGGAGAGGTTTTTGCTATAGGGTGTGCCGACAGACAGAGAGAGACAGAGAGACAGAAAGTGAGAAATCACCCCCCAGGGGGATGGCCACGCCGCAATCCCTTCTCCTCCCTTCTCCTCTCGGGATCTTGGGCACACGCGCACAGGCGCCGGGTGTGAGTTTTAAGCCACCCCGTCCAGGACGGGAACCGCTGTCGACTACATGAGAGTCCAGCGACATAGTCATTATGCTAACTGCTGGTCCCAACAATAGAACTAAGTTTTTTCCCCCCCAAATCAAATTCAATACTATTTACACACTCCATGTTTATTAAGAGCAGCGTACATTTATACTTTTATAGTCTCTTGCTACTTCTGACAGCACAGGGAATTCCACGACAGTACTTTGGGGAGCTCAGGCCTCCTCTAAAGAAAAACAAGTATCAATTCTTGCACCAAACCAGGGAAATGAACTGCTCTAATCGGTTCAAGAGAGTGCCTAGGCAAAAAGGCAGAAACTGGAAGATAAAAGTTTTGACTGAATCCATTCTGATGTTCATGGTAGACATTTGACAAATGTTTGAGGAAATCAATCTGGGGAGAAAGAACTGGCTTCAGGTACTTCTACAAGACCTCTGATGTTTAGAAACGGATGAAAGATGCAGCCATTTACAAAAAGTTCTAATTGCAGTATTCAATAATATGGAATGAGCTGGAACTTGGCATCGCCCCCTAGCCTGACGGTTGCACCGCTGATCGTTCATAGGACTCATGTCCCCAGAACAGGCAATTCAATCACTTGATCCCAGCTCGGAAGCCTCAGGTCCCTTCCATTCCCAATTCTTTCGCGTGGCCCAGTTTTCAGAAGCTGCGGAGAGAAGGACGGAATCCCAGGAAGCCTGTTGATTCACCAGGCCACGCATTTCACGGGTTCTGGGTGCTACAGTGCAGGGAAAAGCCTGGAGACTCTGAGTAAATACCCCGTTTTCCTTCCCCTTCCCCCCAGTAGAGCAGGGAAGGCCGCCCCTCCCTTCTTCCCGCATACGGCTCCCCAGTGCCTCTTCCCTTACGGGACCAGGCCCTAGAAGCACGGTTCCCCACCTGACCCGTGCGAGAAACACGCTCTGCAGTCCGAACTTTACCTGCCCGAAGCTCACCGCTTCTCCGGTGCGCTAGGCCCCCACCAAGGAAAATGGAGTCGTCGAACCGAGGCTGGGAAGGTATAGTACGGACCCACCGCACTGCCCCTCCGCCCCTGCCGCCGCCGCCGCCGCTGCTGCGTCAACGTGCTTCGTCACTTCCGCCTCCCTGTCACTGGGAGTGGGCGGGCCATTGCTCACTTTTCGGCCCGGCTGGACAGGGATTCGTCCCGGAGGCGCGAAAGCTGGCACCAGCGGCTCAGGAAGGCAGCTGTCACAGAGCCTCCGGAACAGAGCGAGGGGATCGGAAGCAACCAGCTTCCAGCGGGCGTCTCACGCCGCTCTAGCCAAATGAACCATAAAGATCAGATGAGAGCTACTTCACTTGTTCCTCTCGGTGGTTCCTCCTTCAGCTTCCGGTTCCGGGGAGGGACCGAGTCTTCGAAGATTGGGGGGCTCCGCGACCCGGTTAGGATGGCTTTGGTGCCGCTGCTGCTGTTCGGGAGCCTGTGGAGCGCGGCGGCAGCGTCCCGGCTGGCTGGCGGCAGCGTCCAGTCTGGCTGTCGTTACTTGCGGCTCTGTGGTGAAGCTCCTCAACACTCGCCACAACGTCCGTCTGCACTCGCACGACGTGCGCTATGGGTCAGGTACTGCGGGGACCGGGCGCCGGTGCTGGCAGGCCCGCTGGCTCCGGGGGGGG